GCCATTGATGACAACTTCACAAGTGACAAAATAGTCTAACAACAACCATATCAACTATTTACATGGATAGCTTCTGAAATAAATATAACAAGTAAATCACTCATATATTTAAAAAAATTACCTAATACTCCTCAACCATCAATACATAAACCTTAGAACACAGTTCTGATCATAACTTGTTCTAGGAAAGCTTATTATTAGACAAGGTTACAAAATCAGACCCAATGAAAACATAATAAAAATAAAAAATCAGAATAGTGAAAATTCCAAATGTTCAAGTAGCTCAAAAAAAAAAAAAAAATCCAATGATGACAGCTGACCAAACAGAATAGCAAAAACTGTATGAAAACATTATTTCTTTTTGTCTCTTTGTCCTTATTGTTTTACATTTCTGTGTATATATTGTCTACTTGGACCTTGTTTAATAGGAATTATTCTCCTCTCTCTCTCTCTCTCTATATACCTCTCTTTGCTAATCAGAAACTTCACCAGTATAAGTCCTATGAATAAACAAGTTCCAAGTAGACAATATATACATAGAACTGTAAAATCAGTTTGAAATTGTGCACCTTTAACACTAGAAATAAAATCAAGGAAATGACCAATGTGTTGATGTACTTTTATACAAAAAAAGGGAGACAATCCAGCTGAATGAGATACCAACAGGACAAATAACTGCAGGAGCAAAAGCCAGAAATTTATATTTGGAAGAGATACTAAAGAAAAAGTAAACTTCTATAAAATAATAAAATGCTAACTTGTACAATGTAAAAGTATTCATGTTTTATTAATTACAAAAAGCTTTTGATAAAAATCAAATGACATAATATATGATCAAAAAAATGGAATAAGTTTTGGCTGATTAAAATGTTTCCTTGTATATACTGTATGTCATTCATACAAATATATACATGAAAGACAAAATTAATAAACTAAATCAGTGATTCAATCTTGTCTGTTCTTCCACTCCCATACCTGAAGACCTAACTTTTTCATTTAAATTCATTTAAAAAGTGAGACATTCATTAATTAATTAAATGTCTCACTTTTTCACATATATTTTATATTAAGGTGTAGCTTAAAACAATCAAGAAAATTCATATTGATGATTGATCATTAATGAAAATACTGTTTAGGTCTAGGTTAGGTGTATACAGAAGAAAATATACATTTAATTTATGTATGTATCTCTCTTTAATCCAAAATAAAGTTTGGTAGACTATCATTACAGTTTTCAGGTTAGACACTTCTTTTATTGTTTCCACATATGCATTTTGGACTTATATAAATGCTAAGCCCCTCTTCAGTGCAATGCATATGTGGAAATAAAACAATATAAATAATAAAAGAAGTGTCTAACCTGAAAACTGTAATGATAGTCTACTGAACTTAATTTTGGATTAGAGAGACATACATACATAGATCGTAATAATAGTTACCAAAAGTGATATTTAGAAGTACATTTAATTTGATTTTGGTACATTTTTATCATCTTATTTTAAAAAATTCACTTCACAACAAACAAAAAAACATAAATAAATAAAAAAAAAGTTAAAATGATTTAAAAAGTTCAAATAAAAATATTTTTCACCCCAAAAAAAAGCCATCTTGGAAGTCTTACACCTTTGAAGATACATGGATCTCAGGTTAAGAACCACTTCTCTAATCAATTCAATCCGACTGGCATCAATTTAGAGTATATATTCATTCCAAATTTTTGGAGTAAAATATACTTCATAACTGAAATAGTAGAAAATCAATACTAAAAAATACACAAATTAAGATTGATTTTGACTGTTGATTTCCATCAGCAGCCATATCAATGTTAAGTCCACATTCACTAATATCCATTACAAAATAAAAATAAATAAAACAAAAACATAATAATAAAAACTGATCCTTAAAGTAATTCTTTTCAACTGTGAGAACAAGCCAAAATTTGACTTTTTACGAAGTATAACAGAACAGTGATTAAGTTGAATGCCGGTATTATCCCATATATATTCAATCCTATTTTGAAAAAAACCTAATAATGATCAGTGAAATGGTCAAGGCATCAGTCTACTACTATGGGAGATCTGTGATATGGATGATTGAAAAGTCCCAGGAATTTTTCTTTGATGTGTCATACCCCTGGTCAAACTCACAATTGGTACAAACAGAAGCCCTCTTAGTGCCCATATAGTAGGAAAAAATTTAAGGTCCTATTTAAATGTTATTTCTCAATTTATTACATTTTATCCCCCCTCCACATCCACTTAAAGTTGTCTAAATTTTGGCAATGGAGTTAAATTGTTATTGTGGATCAGTCTGATGTAAACATTGAAAACTGATTCTTAAGATTAATACACCAAGAGAAAACTATCTACTATTACTACTAGTCATTATGATTAAACCAGACTCATAAAATGAGAACTGCTGAATACTGAAAGATACGAAAGTCGAACTATCAATGAAAACCTTGAAGTTTCAGTTTACATGAAGCCAAGTTCTGCACAGCAGAAGGCTAATGTCATTACTGCCTGAATAATACAAAACTAAATTTATGAACTTTAATATGAGATAATAGCAATGGTTGCACATCAAAATGGCACCTACATAAAAACATCCAGATTCAACTTTAAAATGCAACAAATAAATAAATCACAATAGCAAAAATGACTAAACATGAATATTGATGCTTTAGAATAGTAATCATCATCTTTCTCAGTTCCCAAAATACCCTTGAATTTTTAAACACACTCCAAGGAAAACTCTACATATATATATATATATATATTTTTTTTTAATTTAAAGAATAGAGCATTCAGTTTTCTTGTACTAAAGAACAATCTCTTTAACCTAACTTTAGATACAAATAAGCCTTTAAGTAAATAAATTCACCAATGCTCATTTCTTAATATAAAAGTATTTAAGTCTATGTTAAGAATTTATAATAAAAAAAAATTCATAACCGTATATTTGAATTTGATATTAAAACACTTTTATTAAAATATTATTTTAAGAGTTGAATCTATTCTATTCTCAAATAAATAAATAAAAACTTTTTAAAGTTAATACAAACAAAATTTATCCCCAGAAAATATATTTTGCACTCCTATATAAATCATCATTGAATAAATATCTCTATTGCAAAAGGAATTCCAAGAAAACGAATATTGATGGCTTCAAGATAACCTTAATTAAATGGAAAAAATCAAAAGTTCTATTCCAATATTTGTGCTATTTCAGTGTTTACACACATGAAGTAGCACAAATAAAACTAAAAATTAAGACAAATCAGTTCTCTAAAAAACTTTTTGTGAGAAAATGAATTATTAAATGCTTGATTAAAATATTCTAATGTAACAATTCAGATATATAGACTAAAAAGATTGGAAACATTTCAGAGAGGTAAAGTAAATCAGCTGGAGGACAGGTTAAATTATATGATGTTTAAAAGCTTAGTAGAAAAATTTGACAAAGATTAAAAAAAAAAGGAGGAAAGCAATAAATGTAAGAGTTCTCTTAGATAAGTAAATTATATATATATATAGCAATAGATGACAAGATTATCTGGCAATATAACAGAATATATGAACAATAAATGGGCTGAAGACAATGTACCAGAAACTTTTATCTGTTATTTATCAGAACATTCTATAAAATGATTTAAATTTTTAACTGCTTATGTCATTTTGGTGTTTTTGTTTTTATGATTATCTAGTCTAAGAAGGAAAGTAATGAAATATTTGTAAATTTTTAACACTACTATTTAAGTGAAATATCTTCTGACCTATTCAGCTAAGAATTTATCATGAGAAATTACTTCAATTATTGTGATTCTCATCATTCAATATAATTTTAAAATGTTGATGAATTAGAAAAAGTTGTATGACTTCATTAAACTTTCATCCATATCTTGTTATTCAGTCAGATCACTGATTAAAAAAAATTGATATTTTTTACTGTTTAGACTAAAATGTTTTTCAATTTCTTAACTCATTTTGAGAAAATATGACTAATCATTGGAGAACTTTAAATTTTTAAGAATTTGATATTTTATAATGATTTGTCATATACTATTCTAAATAAGAATTGACAACAATAAATTCTTTGTAATTTAATATTTGAAAACTAATAAAATAATACAGATGTATAATTTTTTAAATATTAAGCATTGCAATGCAAAGTAGCAGCATATCCTTATATTTAGACATACTGGGCAATATCCTCATATAAATAGTAGTATTATTTGTAATTCATCTTGAAAAATATCTAAAAGATTCATATGAAAGTGTATTTTGTAAACTTCTTGACTGGTAAAAAAAATAATGTTTTGAAATATCAACAATTTTAATGAAAATTCAAAGTATCTAAGTTTGATAAAAATCTTCAAAAATTCTCATTAAAATTTTTACTATTTTTAAGTTTAATTAGAACATCTTAAAAAATTTTTGGAGAATTTTAGTTATCACTGCATATTATTAATTAAGCAAATTAATCCAATAAGCAAGATTTGTTTTATATTAAGATGCATAGAGAGAGAAGTGCAAGAAAGACAGCAAATATAGTACTTGAACAGAATATTGATGTTTCAAGAAAAAAAAGGCAAAAAGTAAAGACTACTGTTTAATAACAAACATGGCATTACATAGATAGATATAGAAAATAGATACAAGTAGTGAGAGAATACAAGAGGGGTGATAAAACAGAGGAGAAATGTTCAATAATATACAAGATTTCTACTGTAACTACTTACATGCAACTCTCTTTCATTAAAGAAAAAAAACTAGAATAAAAAACTAAAGCAATTTATTTATTTAGTGAGAAACTATTCAATTTAATCTGTCAACTAGATTAACACAAACTATCTCTTGTATAAAATGTTCCTGGTTGTATGATCCCACATCTGATCCCAAAAAAATATTTCTGCAAGTTAGTTTTGATTCAATCAATTTTAGGGCTTGAGAAATTTTTTTTTTATTAAATTTAAAATTCTTTAATGAAAGATAGAATTCATTGATTCCATTTATTTATTTACTTTTTCAATTTTAGAGATTTTTTTTTTCATATTATTACAAAAGAATAATTCTGCAGGTTTTGAAATATCTCCTGCTTTGGCAGCAGTGCAGTTAACATTAAAAAACTTTATTATGTTTGTATGACAATGATATTACAATTTTAAAAAAATCTCCAAAGTTTTCTTGTCATAGGTTTTCTTTTTTTTTGTGTGAGGGATTTTTGGGTGCTACAACAATATAGGCACCCCTTTTAGAAGGCACAGCTTGAGTTTGAAGATCTCTCATCTTAATCTATTTTCTAGCAGGCATGATATGAATTGATCCAGTATGGTGCAAAAAGTCAATTTCTTTGCTTGACAAAAAAAAGAAAAACTGACAAGAATCAACTCATGGCTCTTAACAATTGGGGATGGGAATATTTTGTAACTTGAGCCATAAGTTGATATGAAGTTCAATATGGTAGACAACCCCATTTTAGAAACAAAAATTGAATTCCCAAGATTAGTTGTGTATAACTGGAACTCTCTTATAACCAAGGCACAATTTACAATATGGCATGGGTATATAAAGACACACCCTATATGCCATGATGAAAGCATCTAATATATAAAGAGGCGGGATTACAAATATACATAAATCAAGACATAAATGGTGATTACAAATCTTAACAAGGAATGGTAATAGTAGTGTAGAGACAAAAATAATCTTGAAAATGGTCCATTAGACATCAAATGTTGGTTTATCAATACGTTCTTAATAGTGCATTTCTACTAACAGGTATGGTTGTCGAGATATGCAATGATAAATGAATATACTAAAATTTAATTCTAAATATTAATATGCACAAGGAAGAATTTCCTTTTGTAGACTAACCATACCTGACAGGAGAAAGTGTGTCAAACTTAAAAAGCATTATTACATATATTGATGTATACATAAAAAACTGTTAGAATAACATGATATCAAAAAGAACAAGTGGTATTCCACGGATGTTTTCGTCAAGTCAAAGAATGACTTTAAAATTTGCAACACGACATTTAAACACATTGAAGTACACAAATTGTGATTAAATTTTGCTTTTTGAAGGATCTATGAAACATTTCCTTGTACATAGTCTAGAATAGGTAAGAAAAATAATTCACAATTGGTAAGAGGTATATACTGGCTGCCAATTTACCTTTTCCAATCACTTGGCAGACTGGCCAATTGATGAACATGGTGACAAAAATACAAGCAATATTTTGCATTAAACTGAAGTATAGGATAATCATTGTTTATACAAACAACAAAAGTAAGATTTAAATGCTACTGGTAAAAACACGATAGGCGACATTAACAGGTAGAGGAATATACTTGGATATAATATGCAAAAATAGATTACAAACATGGAATTTTTTCAAAATGTCACCATCACTTGTGCCATTAAGAAAAGACCAAAAGCTTGCAAAAATACAGGTCATTTTTATACTTTATAAAAGACAATACAACAATTCCCCTATTTTTGTCACCAACACGAATTAGGGGTCTCCTCAGTTTGTGATACAAAGCAAGCTCTTGCACACTACTATCTGGAAAATATTCATCTAGACAAATATTAATGAGGAAGAGAAAAATATGGTGTATAAAACCATAGAGTATTAATCTCTCTATTGTGACAGAATTGTCTTGTTTATAATTGACAGTAGACGGTATGTTGCACTGTGGTGTGCTCATTCAGAAAACTGGAAATTGTCAGATACACTTTGCTTCTCTGGTTTTGTTTCTTTAGTAAATATTTAATTTCTATCAAAATCAGCAATATGTTAATTCTTCTGGCTCTCTGTGTATCACAGACCAAGGCAGTCGACAAAAGTCGGCTGGAATTCCTAGATGCAAGCTCAGATTGTTGACTTGGAGAAAGAAACTCTTAGATGACTTGAATCACTCAACTGATAATTGTGCATTTGCTAAGAAATAAAAAGATAAAAGTTTTAGTGCAATAAAATAAAATACAACTAAATTTTTAAAATTTCAACTTACAATTAAAGCTGATACTGCTTCTTCCACTGAATCCATCTGAATAAGAGCCATTTTCTTGTCTTTTCTATAATGAAAAATGTTAATTATTTTTTAAAGATTTATGTCCACTAAAAATGTTGTAAATTAAATACAATTTACAAAAATCTCTAAAAAACATTCCAAGAATAATTCTAAATGAAATTCTTGTAACCAGCAATAAATTTTTTTATAATAAATACATTTTCAGCCAGCTAAGAACAACCACTTTCAAGTAATCATTCATCCAAGGAAAATATGAACATAATAAAAGAAAAATAATATTTATCTTTCTTCTACCATAAGCATATGTTCTGTACTTTTGTATTTTAAAATTATTTATAATCTACAACTTAAAGATGAACATTCTAAGATAAAATGTTTGTTCCTTATAAAAACATCACTCTGAATTATTAAAATGTTTTGTTCTGCATTAAATTATTTAATTTTCTAAAATTTGATATTATATTTAAGGAAAAATATCAATTTACTACTGAATTTTAATATAGTAATTAAATGAATCTTTGCAACAATCCAAATATAACTTTTCCTTTTTTTCTTTTTTATTATTTTTTCAAAATTATAACTAACATTTTCAGCCAATTCATAAATCACCAAATATCTTATGACTATAGCAAATCAGAGTTTATGACTATAAGTAACATTTTGGTGTTTAAGCTTCTTTAGCCACAACAATAAAATAAAATCTTAAAATGCTACAAACAAACTTTCTAACCCATTTATCACTATTTGAAATGTGTTATTTACTCTTCTTAAAAAACACCAACTTCTTTGATACAGTATTATACATAGGAAAATATTTTATTTGTTTTTAGAACAATTGAGCCATCCATTGTTGTAAACAAAATCTAAGTTTAAGTCTAAACTCCTTAGCAAACTTTGCTGTTTTTGCTTTTAACATTGGCCCATTAATTGAAAATGTGTTACTTCTTTGAACTCTAAATCAATGAATTAATAATTTGTCAATACTTGAAAGAATACAATTTCTAAATTTCTGTGTCTGAGATGTTACTTTCCAGTTGCATTTAAATTGACATCCTTGATCTTCCACAATGTTTTTAATGTCAAAGATAGTGGAATCATGTAATGTAAAATTTCCATCTTCCTTAATCTGCACTCTGCAGATTACTTAATTTTTACTTAATCTGCATATAATTGTCAGATAATTTCAATTTTTTTTTACAAATCAAAAATGCATTTCTTTTTTGTTAGGTATCATGTTTATCATGAAAATAAGAACTGAAAACTGAAGTCTAAATGTAAAAATGATTCATAAAACACTCTTAACATAGTTTCGACAACCTAGTAGACACTTCACTTAGGTGATAATGGTTTTCCCACTCATTAGTTATTTCAAAAAACTAAAAACTTTTGCAATATTCTATGAAGTAAACTGATTATAACCATGAATATTTACATGAAAATATGTCTTAACTAAAATCAGAATACAGATTTCCTCACAAAAATCATGTTATTACACTAAGTTTAACTGTATTTATTATAATAAATGTTTTTTCAATATTTTGATAATTTGATTAATTTTTAATTCAGAGTTCAAAATAAGATTTCATTTTTTTTTTTGTGTTTTTAAGGAATGGTTTAACTGGACGGCCAAGTATCCTATAAAGGAAGGTCTAGTTGTCTAAAGTTTTATTCTATAACACATAATAAAATGGTGGTTTCGAAAAGAAGTTTTGGATCAACTGTCTTTTTTTACAAACAAAAATTAGCCATCCGATGGAAATCTTATAAGATTTCAATTAAAGTTTAATTATATATTTTAAATAATTCAATTGAACATATTAATAATAAATCAATTCATTTAATATTAGTAAGATTTTAAATAGCAATTTGGCTTGAAATCTTGCTTGGCTATATTTCTATACTCAAAAATTACAATAAAAATTTTAAAAAACTGAGTTGTTATTTTTTTACTATTCAGAACAATAAACTCCAACACGTGTCACATCTTATAAAACATGTACAATATTTCACCTTCCAAACCAAGCCATAAAAATTAAGTTAAAGATTTGAATGTAAGAACACTACAAATTTAGAACTTACGGGAAGAATTTGAATGCAACAACTGTTCCTCCTGTTTCAGCAAACGCATCTCTAATGTGATCTTCATCAACACTTGATCTGTGTGAAACAAGAAAATTTTTAAAAAGTAAATTGGTTGTGGTCACAATACAATACAATAACTTATTCTAAAAATAAATATCTAAATAAAAAGATTTTAATTTTGATTAAAAAATGTATCAAATTAAATAACACAGATTATGGGTTATCTGTTAATTTTAACTTTAACTACAAACTAATCAAACATCATCTCCTTTATCAAAAATCACTAAGTGCATCTTTACAGAATGTAAAAGATTCTTTGTTTAATAAAGATATATTCATCTACTATCACAATTTTTCTCAAAATAATTGAAGGCAAATATACAGATGCCATGTCTGTAGTCCTCTTTGGTTCATTTTCTGTGCCAAATTCCATGCTCTGATATTATTAAACAACCCTCCTTGCACTTGTATCTTGAATGCTAACAACAATTCTCATAAATCTCCCTTCTGTATGTAACAATTTCAGAGAACTATTTGAAAACTAACTGTTTATTTAATAAATGCTAGTCTATCTAACAAAATATAAACTTTCTAAACTTTAAGATAATTTTGCACATCCATTTATTTAGTTTATTGCTATCCATAATCTTACAAAATGAAATTTATATTCATTTAGTAATACTATATAGCATAAGCTTACACAAAACTAAAAAACAAAAAGCAAAATAAAATTAAATTTGCCAAAAAACTTAAACTCCCATTTTTACTTTTAATCTAAAATAATATACAGTAATACCTCGACTTACGCGATTTTCAAATCTTGTTGATTCGTCTTTTGTTTGAGCGGCACACAGCTCTTGATTACTAACTCCCCCCCCACACTATTGTTCAGCTTACATGTTCGGATGTGTCGCGCGGAATTGACGCATAGTTACAATTTATTTCTGTGTTTGTTATATCTACGGAGACTCGAGAGACTCTATATGGTGATTTCTTGTAACCGTGAATGAATCAAAAGACGAGATAGGATTAACAAGAACAATAGTTAGCTTACATACATCCGACTTGGATTTTACACAAATTGCAAAATTATACCCCGACTTACGCGGTTATCGCTCGGTCCCACCTATCGCGTAAGTTCGGGGTATCACTGTAGTCTTCTAGATAAATTGAAAGCACAGAAATAATTATATTTATTTAGGAGTGATGTAAGTATTCTGCAGAACAGTGCACAAAAAACTCAGTTCCTGAACCTATTTTCAGTTTAATAGTCTAGATATTTTTATATTTCTCTTTTTTTAAAAAAATGGAGTATTAGACATATCTGTTGTAGCTATTTTTGATATCAATATATTAAGATATTAGTCTGTTAATTTAAAACATTTCACATTTTATTTCAAATAAGAAAAAATGAATTTTAACGACAAAATTTATATCTACTTACGGAATGTTTGAAAGATGTAATGTAGCTGAAGGTGGATATATGTTCTGATAATTTTTAGATCCTGGCTTTTTAAATCTATGTAATGGTGAATTTGTGTAATCTTTGGTTAAACCAGCATCCTAAAATTTAATATACAAATAAGTCATTAAATTTTGTAATATTCATATAATACATAACTATTGTTATATTTATTATAATTAAAGGAACATTAACATCAAAAATATCCCTTAGAATTATTAATAAAATTAAAATAAAAATAAGTTTCCACCACATACATAAGCAGCAATTATTGCTTAATTTCAAAAATTTGTCATTGAAGAAGTACAGTAATCTAAAAGCACAAAATCTCCATTTCTCTTATTTGAGACAAATATATCTGTTACCAATTTATGTATGGAAAACTCCAAATAAATTTTTATTGTTTCAAAATATGCAAAACAAACTATTTCCATTATTTGAAATCAAACTAAAGTTCTTTCTCTAATGATATATGAAAAGACATATATCATTAGAACATTTCAAGATTTTTTTCCCCTAATTTTTCTTAAATGCTACATAATTATGAAAATATTTATTCTAGGAAAGATATCTCAGAATACACACATAAAAATGCAATACACTGTATATACATGAATATACACATTCAAACTGCATATACATATTCATTAATTTCCTTTTTATTCACAAATTTATTAACATTTTTTATATCATTTAATAATAAGCACATTACTCATTTTTTTGTTTGTAAGAAATTTATTAAAAAAAAACCACATCATCCATCTTACAACTTAAAACTTAAGATACTGATTTTTTTCATGTGTCTTAAAATTACACTATTAAAAATTTTCTACTATAAATTTTAACAGTGTCTATCAAAAACATTTTAAAACTAAATCTTATTTCACTCAAAAATAACTTACAGGCTGGCCTTCTTTTGGCATTTGCACAACTTGATGTTTGGATTGGGCAACTCTAATTGGTTTTCCATAAACTTTCAACTTGTCTAAGTGACTCATTGCTAATAAAATATAAAATCAAATTATTAATATTAAACATTGAATATTTTACTTATAGATGATATGCAGTACATACCAATTTGAGCTTGTTGTGGTTCAGCCATCTGTATCAGTGCATTATCCTTTTTGTTGAATAATATCTTTACACGCAAGACATCACCATACACCCCTACATTGCAACAAATTAATTTACTGATATGATTAGCATAATAAAAATAATAAATGCAAAACTCTTCAAAAATACAGTGAAATTTAGTATACCAATTAAATTTTATTTTAAAAATTAATTTAATTTATTAGTTTGATTAAAAATTTAGTGCTTTTATGAGTTTTGATTAGCCTATTTAACTGAAACTTTAAAAGCAGCTGTAATAAAAATTCTTTGTTAATGTGTCAGCCATTCAATCTGTAATAAATAAAAATTTTGTTAAATTATTTAAACTATTTTCCAATAATACAAAAGGTTTCTTTCAATAATTAACACTTTATATAAATTTAAAGCTACTTTGTTAAGATTAATTAATAATAGTAAAATAACTGAAAAATTTTATGTAACAAAATAACTGTAAAGCATAATTTTAAAGCTCAATTTAACCAATAGTCATTTAGTCATATATTACAAAATACATAAAATAATCTGATAGAATTTATTAACATTCTATTAAAATGGCCACATTTCAATTTTGGTGTAGCCCCAGGGTTGATTCATGTAGATATTAATTACAGGCTAAATGGCAGCTCATAACATGTAAGACAATTTTAACATGATCTTAAATTATTATATAGATTACAGAAATGCAATCAGTCTACTTTTTTAAGTTTCTAACACCAATTATTTCAATTAAATCTAAACTGACTTTATTAACAACATTTAAAATATCTTAAATCTAAAATACTTAAAGTTAAACTTTTTACATCCCAAGTACTTTTCAAATGCAAGATTTTAACAAACTCCAAACAAACTTAAACTTTCAATAAGCAATGCAACAAATTTTCAAAAGGTACTTTTAAAATTTGTTGCATTGTTTGAAAACTTGAGCATTTGTGAATTTTGATAAAAACAATTGTCTATTTTAAATGGATTATATCCAGGAATCACTCTGTTTGCCACTTATATACAATAGACTACCATACAACACGGGGATGTGTTCCACGTTGCAGGAAATTGCAGGGGAAATACATGGGGGTTGCACTAAAAATTACAAAATTTATGTTATATTTAGAAATATACAGCAAGCTAGTGCACATCCTACATCAAAATCCATCTTACCCTGAAGAGTAGATGAGAACATCCTGGGGAAAGATTCTTTTTCAGTTTTAAGTATTTTTTACATTTAATTAAATTTGTATCAAAATTATATAGCCCCAAGTGGTTAAATTAAACTGTTGGCTTCACTGTTCATATGCAAACAACTGGTAAGTGTATTTGTAATCCAAAAAAATTGGTAGACGAACGAACAGCAATTGGTTCGCAATTAACAACAGCAGTTGTTAATTTTTGTACTATGTTCCTTTTTGTATTGGAAATAATACATTTTAACTAATGGTAAGGGTATATTTTTACTTTTCTAAACAAAAAATTTGAAACTGTGCAAATGTTAAATCTATCTTACGTGTTATATGGGACAATTTATTGTGCTGTATGACCTTTTCGCAAACTTTTCATTATGTTATACAAGTTCGTGTTCTAAGGGTGCTATTTTATCCATCTTTTCTTTGTAAATTCACTTTCTTTGCAATAAAAATTCTACCCATATATCCATATACAGGAGTCTACTGTATATACTTTTCTCTTGTGATTTGCATTGTTTTAATAGTGCACTAACATTAAATTTAATTTTAAAAAAAAAACTCTTAAATAATCTTTATATCTTTCCAATTTACTCTCAATGTCTTATTTAGGACAGATTTCATACATTAAATATTTTTTCAAATCATTTGTAATTCTTTAAGAATCCAACAGATTAAAATTTAAAATTTTGAATTCATTATACAAAATCATTTGTGTACTCCCAAGGAAGAATAGAAGTATTTAAATACAAACTATTGAACATCATTTCATGTATTTCTTGCAATAAAGACTATACATGACTGAAATATGAATTATAATTGTTTGCTTAAAATAATTTTTTTAATCATTATGTTTGTTATATTATATATATACACAGACACTCACTCAGACAAATATGACATGATTACTAAAATTCAAAATATCAATAAATTTGTCATTTATAAATGCTTGCCTTGATATTATATTAATACAGAAAAACAACATACCATATTTACTCAGGTATAAGACAATCTCACGTATAGGATAAGGTGTGACTTTAGAGATCAAAATAAACAAAATTAGATTTATTAATATAATTCTAATTTTATTTTGTTTAATCACAAAATATTATCAAATGCACATATAAAGGCAAACAACCCATGTTTGCCTTAATACACAATGAATGGAAAACAAAACCAAAACATTATAGTGTACGTGACTGGAAAAAGTTTATTTTTAATGATTCAGAATGTGCTAATATTCATTAAAAAATAACAATTTAACTAACATAAAATAACTACATTTATAACCATTGCTAAGTGACCTGTGAGATTAGCAGTGGGTCACTGGTTAATCCCCAAATGACTACTTACTCTGCACAGGCTGGTAAAACCTGATCTCGGGGTTTGTTGGATAGCTAGGAGGGCAAATCAAGTGGGGAGGGGGTTGAGGAAGCTGACAGGTGTCCTTAAATGACAGGAAACAGGTTCAACAAAATAACAAAGCATTCATTGAATGAATAAGCTATGATACATAAGGCGATAACAATATATAGGTTAAATGTGGTTAGATACAACTCAGAATAAATGTGGCTAACATACTATAGTCCTTCCTCCAAGGGTTAAACTAAAAATACGCTTAGGGAAAGAGAGAATCCGCAGGTTCAAATAATTACGTCAAAGAGAACTCTATGTGACGATTAAGTGTTATGTGGAAGTTCCTATGGTCTTCTATATGGTATCTTCTCCTTTTGTCAAGTCGAGTCAGTTATATGGAGGTCTGGGAGACGAAATGCACACATCGACAAGTATAACTTCTGAGATATCGCCCTGACCTTCCAGAGATTCAAGCTTTTATATCATTTGCATGGGAAAACTGACACGTGATTGACTTTTGTTGACAACCATGGTGCATTCTTCACACCTAAGTGTAAACTTTCCCAGCTAGTTGTTAGTACAATCGGTGACATCTGATCTAGTTCAAATTCCTTGGGTTTTTTCCGAAGATATTTACACTTATTAGAAAATTTAGATTTTTAAGAGTCCCGTAAAAATCCGCGGGCTCACAGACCTGTATTTCATTAATGTTTTTATAAATAATGAGAAACTATTTTCTGCAAATGAATGAGATGCAATGCAGTTTTTAATTGATGGATGTAAGATTAAACCAATAAACAAAGGGGTGTGTGTCTTAATTTGTTTACAGTAGGTGCCAACTTATGATAAATAGACTATAGACCTATAATGACAGCATGAAGTATACACGGTTCACAGAAATTATTGCAAAAGCACAAAAAATCCTTTGTTCGTGCATATAGGACAGCCTAGGTTTTGAAGCAGTGAAAATTGAATAAAAATCTCATCTTATATGCAAGTAAATACGGTAATTAAAATAAACCCATTCACAAAATTCATTTATCTTTATATCTAATTTTTCAATGTATTAAACTGTTAATTTTTGTGTACTTAATCTAAACTGTATATAATTCAGACAAGAATAATAATATGTTTGTTTAAAAACTAGAAGTAGCATAACTCAAAATTTTGAAAGGACAGAGATTTCATATTTTGCTTCCAATAATATGCAATATATATAATTTCAATTTAACAAAATCTTCCTAAAAGAGAGACATGTTTACATACTATAATCAAAATAAAAAGAATGTTTATGATCTTGTACAAAAAAAATCAAGACAACTTTACAATAATTTCAACATACTGGATAATTGTAATTAAAGTACTCACAGTAAATAACAGTTAACATTTACACAAGAATAGAACAGCATATGTAGTTATAAAAATTAATGAAAAACTGTCTACAGTGGTACCTCAGGATACAAACGCCCCAGCATATGAAATTTTCAGGATACGACATAAAATTCGAACATATTTTTGCTCCACGATTTGAACAAAAACTCACCATACAACGTTACATTAGTTTGCAGTGCCATTTTTAATTCACTTCTGTTCATTGGTCTCAGTCTGCTTCGCCGTGGAAGGAACTCACTTGATAAAGGAAATCTTGAGGTATTATCAAAAAGTGACTGATTTTATTGAAAAGAAACATCCCGAAAAGATTCACACTGGCTGTATTGCTGCTCAGAGTAATGACATTTGCCTAAGTCATTTTAGAAACATTTTAAAAAGTAGGCAAAGCCAAACCTCTTTGGATAGATATTTTACCAAGCGACCTGTATCCACTTAAAGTGCTGGTGGAAGTGAAGGAAAGAAAGCAAAAAGCAGTGAATAAAAAAAAAAAATACACAGTAGAGCATCGATTATCCAACTCAATTGGGAACTGGGGTTGATCGGACAACTGAAAAAATGGATAACCGAAAAAAATGAAAAAATACATTATTAGTATAGTATATCCTATGTAATTAGTATATCGCTATTAACCTACTTCGCGTTGAATTTTCATCGATGTTAATCTTAACAAACAATTTTTTAAATAATAATCGTCACTATTGCATCATTTAAAATTAGAAAATTAAGCCTCGTTTAAATAGTGGCCTCCCTTCCATGGTTGAGACATGTTGCCAGCTAAACACACAAAAATTTAACAAAAATAATATTTAAGTAGCTAAGACATAGCCAAATATTGTAGTGCCACATCACTAGTGGACATTTGAATTTGCCGACTAGAATGTGGTCGGTTAACCGTTGTGACGGTTGATCGGGGGTCGGATAATAAATGCTCTACTGTATGTATATATGTATGTATGTATGTATATATATATATAAAACAACACTAATTTTTTAAATCTTTTCTAAGTTATTTTTTAAGTTATTGTTGTTACATTATGTTATGTAAGTTAAGTTTTAGTATCATTTCCCTTCTCCCTCTCTTCCGCCATCAGTTTACACCTCCACCATCATCTATCCTCAAAGGTAAAGTGCAAATAAAACTACATTTTTTTTAATCAATTATTATTCTATTATGGTTATTTATATATTTACAACTACAAAATGCATTTTTCAGTGTTTTCCTTACTATAATTTTTTTAATGTACTACTTAGCATTAATTTGAGTGTTTTTTTCATGTTGGAATGAATTATTTGATTTTACATGCTATCATATGGAGAAAAATGATTCACCTTATGACATTTTCATGATACGATCTAGTTTCGGAATGGATTAATTTCGTATCCTGAGGTACCACTGTATATTAATTTAAATGTATTAAAGTTCACAAAGTTTTAATATTGTTAAATTTTATTTAATGTGGATAGACCGTTTTTCTTAATTAAATGTTAGTTTGAGATAAAGCGCTAAATATACAGCTATTTTGAATTTTGACACCTGTTCTTTGTTTAATTTCCTCCAATTATACAAATTTTTAATTTTTTGAAAATTTTAGAACACCATTAATATTCAATTAAAATAAATCCTGATTTCATTATTTGTTTTTCAATTTCTCCATCCTAATAATAGCAAGAGGATCTTTTGTAGCATGACATTAAGAGTACTGTCAAATTGAAATATGATGATGATGAGCAAAATTCAATTCATTCAATCTAAAACCAGTGGTGAAAAAATCAAGGTCGTCTTAAGTCTAAAAGATTTAGAGCAGCTAAATGATTAATATATAAAAACCACTTCAACATGCACTCTTTACTGGTTTATCTTCAGTTCAAACAAGAAATAAAAATGAAAAATACAATTAGTAATCAAATTAAAAAACAAAACCAATAATAAACTACTTACTTTAAAATCTTAATATAACATTAAAAGGTTAATATATACATTCTATAATGTTTCTATAAAAATAAGATTAATAAATTAATAATTTTTAAAACTAAATAAAATAAATGAATTATTTAAGTTAATGTATAACAAGTCTATTTATGATTAAAACCAAATAAGGAATCAAACTGTTGGATTTAATCAGGATTCTTAATAATGTAAATTTACTTCAGAAAAGTTGCATATTTTCTTCACAGGAGCTGGAGTCTCTGAATATAAATTTAACTATTATGCTGGGATATATATTACAATGCATAATGATACAAATTCAATTAATTCACAATCTTGCAAATGACTGAATTAACAAAATAATAAATTAATTTCACACATTAGTAAGTAATTTGACAAACAATAATTAAAATATGTTTTCAACACATTCAAAATAAATGCATCCACGCAGATGTATACAAATTATATTGAAATAATTAGACAATTAATTATAAACTCTATCGAAATCGGATTTAAAAACTGAATTTCACTTGTGAAATACAAGTGAAATTCACTTCTTAAAGATTTTTTAAAGAAAAATTTTTTTAGAATTTATTAATTTTAATAAACAATGTTTTAAATGCCAAATTTCATCTTTTACTGATACTAAGAGAACAAATGGCTTATAATAAACAAACGTATGTTCTAAATAAGTGAAAATATAGACAAGTTCCAAAAGATAATTTCAGAATTTAAATTTTTTGGAATATTTTTGAAATTAGAAAAACAAAATTAGAATTATCATTTTTTTCCAAATAGTCAATATAATCTCTTTATTGCAAATTATCAAACTATATTGACAAAACTAGATTTAGAAGATAATTTTACTGTTAAATGATCCATAACTATTTTATCAGCCTCAATGATAAAGCAATTGAAAAATACAATTGCTAGCAACTAGGTTGGGAACTCAATTTTAGTTTATTAAGTATTTTTAGTTCTTCTCACACAAATGTTTGTATTTAAAAAGAAACTTTTTTTTATAAAATCTAATGAAAATATTTAAAGCTATTTTAATGCATTTAAGAAATAATAAATTTTAATGTTCTTTGCCACTTTTAGATTGATAAGCCAATGAAAAAGTGAAATGAAGAAAAGTGTTCTTAAAAATAACAATTCAAAATTCATTTTCAGGAATTAAGGGCAAGTTTTAATGTTAGTTTGAAAATAAAGCACTAAAAATAAGGTAATTTATTTTTATTTAGTTTTTAACTTAATACAAACTTCAATATTCTGCTGCAAGATTTATTAAAGAAACTTTTTCTCTGATCAAAGTGAAATCTGTTAAGCTTTACCATTTTGATTTCTTTTTGATAAGAATATTTAGAAAAAATAAAAAAATCTACAATTAAATTGTTAACTTTAAATAAAATTTAAAAGTTAAATTGTATTTAAACTTAGTAAAGTTTGTTTTAATATTTAAGTTAAATACAAATTGAAATTACAAAAATGATTATATTTATCATCATCGTGGAGGCATGCTAGTCATCAAATCAGAGTAAGTGAAACTTTTAGAAGTTGAAGTAAAAATGCAGTTTGTTTTATTGAATTTAAGGAAAGTAAAATATAGTAGCAATTTCATTTTTTATATTGTTACTTATTTCTGGAGTTGAGCCAAATACCGATCCATTGACAAAATCACCTAGAGCATGATCTCTGTTGCTAAAAACAAGTCAATGACCCAAAGAAATATTTGAGAAGATTGAACATTATGTTTTTCTGCTGACACAAGAACAATGGAACTGAATATTAAGAAAATAAAAGTAATTGGAATTTTAGGCAAGCCAACTTTTTTGAAATCATAGGAATGACTACAATCAGTCAAACTTAAAAGACATTTAATCTACAGATTTACTAACAAAATAGAACTAGTTAAAGAGAATTTGAATTCCATTTATGTAAATATTAATGAAGTTAAATTACAATTTATGGTAGTTGACAAAAGAATTAATGTGCTAGACAAGATATTAATAGTTAAAAAATTGCAACTAAAGAAAACTTATAATTTAAACAGTATTCTTCAATTTTCACTAATAATCAAAACAAAATTGTTATTTAATTGTCTCAAATTTCAGGACCACTTGAAAAACATTTAATGAAATGCCCATTGAAAATTGAGCAGGTAGAAGTTATTGATATAACTGAAATATTTCAATTAAAAATGCAGAACAGAAACATGTAAAATAATGTTCAGTTTCCTTTTATAAACCAGTTTATTTCCTTGTTCACCTGAGCAAAAAAAACATCTTTTAGGCTATTGGCAAGATATGCAAAGTTTTAGCAGACCTTACAAAAGAATCATGGGGAAAAATCTCATGAAATTCCTTATAATCTTCCTAAAAGACAGGGATTAACAGTCAAGATACATGATGATTATCTCCTCTATGAAAGGGGAAAATTAACGTATAGTATTAGTATATACTATTTGGTGAATACAGAAAACTCACATTTATCATTATCACAATCTTCATTAAAACTATCAGATTTAGGCAAAGATGATAAACTCATTTCTAAATAAAATATATATAGAAATATGAAAACCATTAATTGGAATTGCCAAGGTCTTGGAAATACAGCCGGCTCAATTACTTTCGGTAACTAACTTTGATAAACTTGGATTAACAGAGACTTGGTTGAGAAATTCAAAAAAATTTGTCTTATAAAGATCAGTTCTAGGTTTTTGACAGTTTCACCTGAAAGATACAACCCAAGGCCATTCATCCAGAGAAAGTTAGTAATTCATTAATAAAATTTTTAAATTTGGGAGATTAATTGAATTAAAATAAATTTTAATTGATCTCCCAAATTAAAAATTATGTATGTATGTGTATATATATATACAAACATGACAGACACTTGTGTGTATAAAATTAAAATATTGTANTATATATATATATATATATATATATATATGTATTATACATATATATGTATACCTTTTGTTTTTTTAAATCATTAATAAAAATTTTAATTTGGAATTAGCTTTATAAATAAAATAAAACATAAATAATGATATGAAATACAAACATTTGTAGCATTTGTTAATTAAATAAAACGCAGTCAAATATACTGTAATTTTCATTTTATTTTCCCTAAAAATGTTTTTTTTTTTTTTTACTATTACCAGTTCCAAAATAAGTACAAATTTTAGAATTTTTGTAGTGTGGGAATTTTAATAAAATATCAAATCTAAATATGTAAAAATCCAAAAAATTAAATAATTTAATATAAAACAACATGATTAAATTCAAACAGTTTGTTCGAATGTTATAAATGACTTTAAAAATATTCTGTAAATAAATTTTCATAATTGATAAAAATTAACTGAAAACAAATATCTTCAAATTAAATAAAAATATAAAAACAATAAAAAATTTACAAAAAAACAAAGATTCTAAATGAAATTAATAAAGACATACTAAAATACAATATCATCATATAATAGTACATACATGAACGCACGCACACCCCTTCAATTATTAAATATTCATTTAATTACCAATTACATAAGTTATAATTAAAAATTTAAATGTATTTATTAATCAAATAACTGTTATATCAATACAGTTGCCTATTACAGCTTCATTATAATTTTTTTTTATACACATGAAATTTGATTGTAAACAATAACTATTAAAAATACATTTACTCATTTCAAATTAATTCTAAATAATATATAAGCAACATGTAATATAACATAAAATATGGCATATAATTTCACTGTATTTTTAATAACTCACTGAAAATCATCTAGCTAAATTTCACAATGCTAAATGACTATATCATAATGACTTCTTTAAATGCAGGGAATACCAAAAATCTGTTTCATTAATCAAGCCTGAAGAAATAAATGTTAAGTTTATATTTCATAACTAAAAAAAATAAAAAATAAATAAATAAATGATGTTAATTAGAAGTATAAATTTGCATGGATCATTTTGATAAAATGAGTCAAAAGAGAAAATGTAAATATAACTATTCCCAAAAGGGGTTAAAATAGATTAACAGGGAAAAAACAAAAAAAAAAAAAATTTGAAATAGAGTGCTTGATCAAAACATACCAAAAAGGGTAAAGAGAGCATCGGGCGTGATCATCTACAATTTCAGAGCAACAGGTACGGAGGAGAGCGGCAGAGCAGAAGGATGGAAGGAATCAGTGACCCCGAGTGAGCGAACGAATGAACAAAGAGGTCCAACATGGGGATAAACACCAGCAGACGAGAGAGAAAATAATAATAATAATAATCATTTTAAGTGAAAAACTGCCAATGAAGGAAACATTACAAATACCATTTTTCTTCACTCGTTTATGCATACTGACACAGTTTTTTAAATGTATTTTTACAAAACAATAAAGCATCACAAATAAGTTAAAATAAATTTACTTATTTAAAAAAAGTGTACATTTTTGTAAACAAGGGAAGAATAATGGTACTTTATAAGTATAATGTGTTTATAATGATTAATAAGAGAAAAAAAAATAAATAAAAATATGATGATAGTATAGAAATAAAATGTTTTTAATTGTGATAAAAAGTTTTAAGCTGATGATCTATTTGAATAAGATGAATCTAGAGGAAAATAGGAATTCCCCAGCAATATGGTCCATATTCTAAACTGCATATAAAATAGCTTGTATTTTGAAATTTTAAATAAATATTAATTAAGAGCAGAATATTAAAAATCAAAATAATTTTAATAATTTCTTGCATGCATAAAAAAAAGCATTTTAAATACATGCAATTGGTAAAGGGAAAAAGATTTAGAACAACAAAATTTCTTTATAAAACTTTTTTTATAAAATTATTTTAATAATTACATATTGATTAACATGCTATAAAACTTTTATCAAAAAAACATGCATTATATTATGCAAATACAGCAAAACTTTAAATACCTTTATAAAATTTATCTAATTATTAATTTGTACACCTGGAGAAAAATTCCTGTTAATTTTTGATAAGGAACATTATTTCAATTATAGTACAGTCGACCCCCGTATAAGATCATTGATTATTCCGTTTTATATGAATTCCATATTGTACAAATCACTTAAATTTTACAAATACGTGAGCCGTTCACAGCCCGGTACACGTATTTGTAAAATCTAAGTGACTCGTACAACATGGAATTCATATAAAACGGAATAATCAATGATCTTATACGGGGGTCGACTGTAAATACTTTCCAATATACTAATGTCAACAAGAGACTGACTGTGGAAAATTATATTGTTATGTTAAAGTTTAAGATACTTTACATTAACAGAAATTTCTCTATAAATTTTTGCAATTAAAAATTTGAACCAAATTATAATTTAAATAAATTATCATCATCTCATTTTTTATACTGAAATGAAATTCATGAGTAATAAACAAAATGACTTATAATTATGAAGTCTACTGTAATTTTTATATAAGTCAAAACATTTCAGTCAACCAAACATTAAATATAATAAACAAGAATCCTTAATAAAAATTAAGTATAAATTATAATTAAGAGTTAAAATTATAAAATTAAAATTGAGAAGACACACAATGTTTATAAATGATCAAGTGTTCAAAACAGTTAATGTACAAAAGTATGTATTATAAGGATAATATTAGCAATAAATTATACATTAATGATGATAATTTTAAATAAACGAAATCTGTCATTGGTATAGTATTGTAATCACTTAAATGTCCTATTTTAAAAAATCCATTGCATTCCAATAAAACTTTTTATTCATTTAAAAAATTTCTTTTTATTATATACATATAATATGAAATTTTGTTCTATTTAGAGTTTTTTCCTCCAAATACAATGATATACATAATGAAATTTCAATGTTCTAGATGTGGAATAAAATAAAGAATTAATTGAATTATAATAGTTAACTTGCATTATTTTTTCATCATGTCAATAGCAGAATAGTTATGTTCTAATAAATGCATTTGATTTTTTTCTTATAAAATAATGGCTGAATAAATTATTTTAATAATTAAAGTAGGAAAAAACAAAATTGGATTTTATTCATTAAATAACTTTAAATCATTCAATCCAATAAATTGTTTGAAACTTTTCTAAAAGAAAATACGTGTATAATATTAGGTGTATTTTTTTTGTTAATTTGACAATTCCAAGAATAAATATAGTGAAATTTTCAGTTTTACTACAGCTTTGAAGTTTTGATATTCTTGCCTGATCCAAATCTTTTATACAATATCTCTCTTAGTTAATGCAACACTAAATTTGTTAGTATTAGTTCTCAACCTTAAAATAAAAAAACAGTATACTGAAATTGAATTTTAAATAGCAAGTATTCTCAAGTAAAATCTGTTGTTAAGAAAAACAGATTAAAGAAATTTTTAATGTTGTTCAATTTGTTTATTTTTTAGTTTAACTGGCAAATAGGTGTACAGCACAAGTATTTGACTTAATAAACTTTATGTATCAAATTGTCATAACACTTATAAAGATAAATTTTGTTTTTATTTACATTTTTAACATGACTACTGTATTTTCCTTTATAACATAAATGTAAAATTATCAAGTAAAAGTTATGTGCAAGGAAAAAAAGTATTTTTGCTGAACATTACATGAAAATAAATCATCCTACAGAAATGTTATTTACATCAATGCCTAATCCAAGTGTGTACTTAATATGTATCTACATATTAAGCACACATTCTAAGAAAATTCTAATTACAGAGCACTTATAGCTTTTTAAGTTGCAAGTTCTCTGTAATTAGAATTTTCTTCTTGTAATTAAAAAAATTATGCATATTATTTCATTTTGACAACATAAAATGAAACAGCTTTAATATTGCAATAATGTTTTATTAAGCTGTATGACTGACTATGAATTAAAGAATATACAATCCCAACTTTTCAACTAAAAACCAAATACATAAAAAAAATCAAAAAATCATTATAAAAGCATTCACTATCCAAAATGTAATTAAAAACTATTGACAAATACATAAAAACACACACATATATATTTATTACATAGCTACAATAAAAAAGCTTAATTTAACTTATTTAATAAAACTGATATTTATTTATAGTAACACCTAATAAAAATCTTACATTTGTTAGTTGAATTATAAATCATAAATATACATATATAAAATTCAGGATATTAAAGTTTTGCTGTATGTAATCCCAAAAATTAAACTTAACTAAAGTTATTGAATCACTATAATTAAAAAAAAACTGAAAGCTTTAATATTCATAACTGACCTGTTCATTTAAATTGCTAACTAAAAGTACACTGCCAACAGAAGACTGCCCAGGAAGTCTAATGCCAGAAAGACCTAATGCAGCAGCAGTTGTTGCAGCAGAAGGTGGCAGTGTAAAACTCCCAAGAGGAAGAGCTGTGAAATAAATAAATTATATCATATTTTATTTTTTAAATAAAATTTTATACTACATATATTTTTCAAATATTAAACATTTCAGTAAATTTAATTTTGTAAATTTTAATCCATGTATTAGCAAAATGATCAAAATATGACTAAGCTATAAATTTAAATACTAAATAATTTGAAATGTCTTGGTTTTTATTTATAGTTAACATTCAAATCACCCATATATTTAAGCTTGATAATTAAAAAAACACTAATAAAAAAAATACTATATTTTTACTTTTATTCAAACAAAACTTAAAAATTTGGTGATTTTAACAACTTGCTTGCAATTAATCTTTTTAAGGGTCGATTTACACAGAACAGTGACGTGCCGGCACAGTGCAGTGAATTCATCGAAAGATATAGCTATCATAGCCAATTCATCCTCAGAAAAGTCCATGACCAGTCACTGATAGCACATTCACTTCACTACCGTGTGTAAATCAACCCTAATATAGCTTTTAAACTATTTTCTTTTAAATTTTTTAAAATTTATTCAATAAAAATAACAGAACAAGGTTACCGTCACTTATTTTTGAGATTCCTAGCATAGATTTTTGTTTTTCTAAATTTCAAGTTAATACAGAATATGCAAAGTGTTAATAATAATAAAATTTTAATTGAAAAAACAAAGACAGGAAATATAACAAATTATAAAAAGTTGCTTTATATATATATACTAGCAGACCCCGCCACGCGTTGTTGTGGCTCAAAATGTATCTATTATAAATTTATAACACTTCCCCCGTGGGGGGGAATTTTTCAAAAAATTTCTTCTTAGTGTACATTCTCTTGACGTACCCTATTAAAATGCAAAAACCCGCATCTAAAATAGTATAAATAGAAGCAGAGTTCTTTACCGTAAGCCTTAATCCTAACCATTTCCCTTCAGTGGGGTTGAATTTCGACACGCATATTATATAAAAACACGCGCGTATTCGAATGCAGCGTTGTGTCAAAATTTCAAAGGAATCGGTAGGAACAAACGAACATTACATTTTTATTTATATAGATAGATAGAAGATGATCTGCTTTAGTTCATTTTCACAGAAAAGCAAACTTAGTGTGTCGTACTCGTAGCGCCATCTGTTGACATAAAAGCCTTAATCTAGATTATATTTTTTAATTTATATGAATGTTTAATGGAATAATATACAGCCTACGTCCACCCTGAAGTTTCATTCTAAATATTGGTGAAAGAATTTTTGAAATCGGATGAGTAGTTTCAGAGATTACCTGCTGCATACAAACTTACATACATACAAACATTACCTCTTTATAATATTAGTATAGATAANATAGTTATACAGAAAATAATATTTCATATAGTGTGTATCTCTTTTGTATGGAATTATACATATTATGGAGCATCTACTTCACTAACAAGTACACGAGTCAGTCAATTCAAATGTCTTATATCATTCTTCTTTCTATTAAAAGTTATCTTAAAGTGTACAATTTTACTAGTCTAGCAATTCTCATTTTCTACTGTAACATTATTATTATTATTATTTTAAATAAAATAAACTGAAAAAAATAAATATTGTTCAATTTATAAACTATTGGACTAATTCAAAAAAATTTTAGAATATAGAACTACGCAATCTTATTTAAAATGACATTTTTCTCTTACTTTTTTTAGAAATCATAAAAAACAATATAATTAAATTCAAATTTTTAAATTTTTACACTAAGATTCTCTGAACACACAATTTTTTTAATAAGTGAACCAATATTTTTATAAAAAACAATTATCTAGTTTTATATCCTTACATCTTAACAATTAAACCAAAATACAGGATAGGTTCTTCTAAATCAATAAACTAAATATATTAATGTAGTTAAAAACAATCCTTAATACGATGTATTCTATTATAATTTTTTATTGCAATATAAATTTCATGCTCTCTAGATTTTATAGTAAATACTCAACAAAAACAAATTAAAAATGATATTAATAAAATAAATTTTAATAATGCTAATTACCTCCAGCAGCATAAGCTGAAAGTGGTGATGCTAAACCAGGTGTGCCAAAAGGAGATGCAAGCATACCCATAGAACCTATCAATATATCACTAATGTTAAGATCAATTTAGCATGCTAAATTAAAAAATTAAATAATATACAAACCTGATTTTATTCCTGTGATACCTAATGAATCTAATGTTACATCACCAGAAGGAAGATTATTATTGGTGAAATCTCTGCTTTTGTCATTGTTAAATTTAATGTTCAAATTTGTGAGTTTGGAATATTCTATTCTCAAAGTACAACAGGCATTGTATATGTTTTGGCCATCTAGGGACTAAAAATAGATTATTATAAACTAAAAATGATAGTAAAAACAGAGATAGACAACTGATCATATTTCCAACAAACACTCAATTTAATTATTTAACAGTAAATTATGACTAACCAATTTTGCTGCTTGTGCTGTAATAACATCTGGATACTGTATGAGAGCTTGGAATGTGTCTAAAATTGTAAAAATAAAATTTCATCAAACAATATTAAAAAATTTTACAATTAATTCCATATAAAAAGTCCAATTTTAGAATTTGTAAAAATTATATGTATGCTGTCTTATATAACAAATATATTTTTCTTATTACTTACAAATTAATTACAATAAAAAAATTCACAAATTTCATTCTAATATTTACATTTATTGCATATATTATTACTGTTGGTTATATAATTTTAACTTTTCAAATAATTGGATGAATACTTAAGAATAATAATTTTCATTAACAGTAATTCATGTAACAATGGTGTAATATTTTATATCTCATTGATTATTTAAAAGTCAACAGCTACAAAAATTTAATAAAAATTCTAGAATTTAACAGCTAATATAATCAAATGGATAACTATTTTATAATCTACTTACTAAAATTTTGAGATATCTGAGATAAAATAATATGTAATTATATAGTTTTAGTGAGTGATCTATCATTTTATAGAAATTAAGTTTATCAAAAGCATTTTTAAAAATTAATTTCATTAGAAATTCCTCATATTTTAGTAAATCAGCTGAATCTTTTCAGTTGTGAACTGATATCTATTGCTTTTTATAATATGCAAAATAATAAAAAGCAAACAAGATGAACAGGGTCAAATATTCTTAGCCACCAGTGGCCAAGTAGATAAATCCACCAATAATGGTAATTGGTCTCAGGTTCACACCTGATCAATACCTGGCTGCATGGAGTTTTTCAAGTTTCTTTCAAGTGACTTATACCTAAATGGGAATTGGCTTGCCATAGAAATCCACTTGGAAAGTACTTTTTCCTTGGCAGATTGCACTTGTGTTGCATTACTTTATCTTATCAAACCAAACCAAAGCATGATTATCTTTCTGAACCCTTTGTAATTTAACTAGACTTATCACCACTCAAACTACAAATTACTATATTTTATATAAAAACTAAAACTTATAAAGTAAAATTAATAAAGGAATTCCTTTACAAAGTAAATATAAAAAAAATTGAATGTTCTGGAAGTAGGTTAGTATTGATTCAAATTTTAACAAGTTGTTCTTGATAATTTTGTATGTTAGTATTTGTGTTTATCTTTGAAAAATATTGTGTAGTTCATAAAGACCTTTTTTTCATTTCTCCCATAACAATTTTTTTTAAACTGAAATCAGAAAGTAAAAGTGTTTGTGTTTATATAAAACTTTAATTATTATAAATTATTCCAATATAAATGTACACAATTAGAAGAAAGAAAGCACTTACTATTTTTTGTGAATGTAACTATTTTCAGAACTTTCCCAAATCTAGAAAATATCTGGAAAAAAATAAAAACAATTATTATTACAAATATATACTATTTTTATATTAGATAAATTTTATTAAATTATTAAGTAAGGAAAGAATGGTCATTAAATTATCAGCATTTTAAATCAGCTATATGTACGATCCAAACACAGAAAACTCCAATTTATATTTAAATTATTTGAGTCTATAAAATAATTTTGTTAAATAATGGACATTTTCATAAAATCTAATTTGCTTATTTTACACTTGAATTAAATGTAAAAATTTATTAATTTAATTATATTTGAAAGTTTTTTTAAAGTAAATTATGTATGTAATTAGAACAAAAAACACATTATCTTAAAACTTCTAGCCTTCCAAATAAAAGAATTGAACATAATCATAATAGGCTCTACTGTCATGTAGTTCAAAAACAAACAATTATTGATTCTAATGATCTTTAAGGACACTATATAAATTTGAAACACCAATATATTGTTCTGAAAACAAAATAGCATATAATGTTGAGATGTGTTATGTGCAAAGAAGACATATAAGATTTTTCAAAATCATCAATTTGAGGTACTGCAATTATGTGCAGCATAACTGTGTGAAATACTAATGGGGAAATCACTGCCTTATGCATATTAAAGAAATAAGTGCATTGCATATGCAAGTATGATTGCAAGTTAATTAAATATCCATGTTCTTTATTAATAAAATTCACGAGAATATTCACATACCTGACAAAGAATGTCAAGAGTTACAGGATAGATCTGATTATCCACTATGACCCTAAGAACAGTATTTGGTCCACCTTGAGTCTCTGTCTGATTTATTAATGCTTGAGCAGCTTGAAGAGCTGCTTGTGTAGTTGCATGCTGAAAAAATTAAAATTTCATTACAGATATAATCACTTTTAACTATGTAGATATTTTGTTAAAATACATACAAATAATTGTTTTCAAAATTGCAAAGAAAATTTAAAACAATGTGAAACAAATCATTCACGTTTAAATTGTAACTATAATATACGTTTTTAATCTGAAAGCTTTTGTACTTATTATAATCTATATAATAAATGATGTAAAAATGTTAAATCATATGCCTCTGTGTCCTTATCTTATAGTTTAGTAATTAAAATGTCTACTCTGACTTATTTATTAACAGGACTTATTATATCAACGTCTTTGTTTAGCAAAATTTAAGAAAACCAATCAGAAAAAAATAAAATAAAGACTGTTTTTTCTGATAGGCTTTCTTAAATTTTGCTAAACAAAGATATTGGTATAATAAGTCCTGTTAATAAAATAAGTCTGAGTAGATATTTTAAATACAGTTGACCCCCCTATAACACGGTAGATACGTTCCAGTTTTTATGAATCCATTTTCTACGAGTCCAGCCAATCACAGCCCAGAACATATGCAATTTACATACTATGGCTGTTTGAAATGTTTCTTCCATAAAATTAATCGATTCTAGACTAATTTGACTCAACATTTCCAAAATATGTATAATTTTTTGGGAATAATCCATATAAACTATGCTATAAACAAAAAATTGTGAGATTACTTACCGAGATTGCACCGTTCGACTACGCCACTGCTTAAGCTTGTTTTCGTTGCGGAGCAGTGCATCGAACGGCGGGCGTGTATTTCCTGATAAATTATTTTTTTTTGTGAAAAATTCACTGAACTTTGGAGACATCATTAATATAAATATAATTTTTATGGATGTTATGATAATAAATGGTTTTTAGTAGGTCCACTGCTCATTTAAACTCAACCGTTTGTACAATATCCACTATTGGTCTAGATTTGACCAATCCTGTCGTGACACGAGTCGGTGATGACGTTTTACCGAATTATAAGAGTTTTTTTTAGCATGTTTGTATGAATACTGTTGCAATTTTTTCGCCATGATACAGGAATCCGAACTATAGGAACCCGTGTTATGGGGGGTCAACTTTACTAAAATGTAAAAATGTTGTTCTCATGTATGATTAAATTCAATAAAGAATAAAAAGAGGCTTAAGATTATACCATACTAGCTACAAGGACCCGCTTCGCTGGGTTTTTATTTGTGGGCAAAAAGTAACGATAGTGAAGATTAAGATAATTACATTATAGCCAATCTTACCCATTTTTCACAAAATGCAAGAATTAGGTCTCCCGTTTCCAGAGAATTTTTACACGAGCATAAAAATATGTTCAATTTCCCGCAAAAGCGCAAAAAACCGCCTGTAAATCTTGCATGCCGCTTCATATTAACAGCTCCTGGTCCCGATTCTATTTCTGAACGTCTCCTGTTCACGTCCAGTCAAACGAACTATTTTCAACGTTTCTGGAATGTTTACGATCATTCTATAATCGAACCAATATTCGAATTTTATGTTCGAATTTAATTCGAATAAATTAGAACAAAACATTCGAAATAGAAAGCCACTTTCAACCACTTTCAGCCTCATATCTCCCGCACCCTTATAGCTATCGAGACGCAACCACCCCTATGCACGAATGGAGACTTGGGGCTACCACCACATACAAACACCATTCACGTGCGATGTGTAGTTTTGGTGAAAAAGTGAAATATAGGGACATACATCTCCATTTATATATATATATATAGAGATAAATCTTTTTTTATATTTGTAATTTTTAATCAAAAATGACTGGTTGTCTGCTTTATTCCAGTTTTCAGTAATGAGTAATGAGATAGCATCGGTCCACATTACCTTGGATAATTAAGGCTCTACTGTATTATTAATTTTAAATCAAATTCAAAATGGATAAATAAAGCAGCATCAAAAATGGAAAATACTTTAAATCGCAATCATCATTATTTTCTCTCATTTGATTTTACTTTATTTATTTTTTATTTTCACATAAATAGCCATATTTCTTAGTAACCAAAACTCTTTTTGCTCATCCCTTTAAATCACAAAGAACATATAGTTCTAGGTATAAATGTTCTTTATACCTAGAACTATACATTATTATCCACTAATAAGAAACTACAGAGTACAACCATAAAAAGTACTATCATAAAAATATTTAGCTATATGTATCTTAATTACTATTGATTTTTAAAATTTGCAACACAAAAATCAACGTATTAGTATACATAAAATTAAGATACATTAATTTAATACTTTTGTGAAAAAGTTAGTGAATTTATAAATTTGCACTTTTTTTATAATTTAGGAAGATGTATAAATTACTCTTTATTTAAATTTAAGTATTTCTAATAAAATTATTGATAATGTATTTTAAATCCATCTTTGATTACTGATATGATAATATTTCTTATTAATTGTAAAACACTTACTGAATTTGAATGTGAACTATCTGTTTTAAGTTCTTTATGATTTGAAAATTGAACATAAACAGTGCGATTTCGAACGACTGGAGAGCCAGAATTTACAAAATAATTCACCATTGTAGTTGCTGAAACTTCATCTGTCATTTCTAAAAAAGCCTGTAAAAATTGAAATTATTATTATTGAAAATATTTTGTAATACTTTTTACATTATAATGAATTAAAAAAACATATAAAAATGAGATACTTTTACATTACAGATATAATCAATTTAGATCTTTTAATTATTCATCAATATAAAATTAAAATTTAGGTATCTATACTGTTTCCCAGAAGATCTGATTGCTAAAGCCCAACAATTACTGGATTAAATCAGGCTACATTACTGCTACAAATAATTATTAAATACAGAGTAATTTGGCACTAGATTTTCTTGTTAGGCACCTAAATCTAGTGCCAAATTACTTTCTACTAGGTGTTAGGCACCTAAATTTAGTGCCAAATTACACCTTCTTACGCACCATCTCTTATTATTCTGATTGTGGTTGTGTAATGTCTCAGCACACAGGATTGTTCAGATGAAAGAATTTCTAAATAGAAAATAAGTGCTAATTTTGAAGCATCCTTCTTATTTGCCAGACTCTATACTATTTTTTCCCTCTTAAATGAAAAAGGTTTTGAATGATCATCATTTTGATAATATTATGTCCATTCAAAAAAGAGCAACATGCCAAATAAAGACAATAACTTCAGAAATATTCAGTACAGTCAGTGTTTTAAGGACTTCATTAAACATTCTGAGTAATGTTTATAGTTAAGCAGACTATTATGAAAACTTATAGCTGTTTCAGGAAATAAAGTAAAGTAATGCTTTTTTCAAATAATGCATTGTCCTAGAATTTATCCAACATGCTGAGTAAAAGAATAAATTTACCAAATTAAGAAATCAAATTTTATTCAAAACATTAAATTTATAAGGGATTCCTTCTTTACATATGCTCATAGTTAAATATGCCTGTTCTTGACTGTCACTATAAATACTCTCATATTTGTATTTATAAGCAGCATTTACAATTAATCTTTCCTGTGATTCTGGTATCAGGTAATTGTAACTGTCAGTTTGTATTTTACTCTTCACATTTCTGTAATAAAACTTATCCCATCAAGTGTATTGTATCTTGGAGAGAAAACAACAGATTATTGGTTTATCAATCATCCAACAGATAGTGAAGTAATCACAATATGGAAAAACTTCATATATTTTTATTATCCTATAACTAAAAAACATCCATAAGTAAAATATTCATTTAACAGATTTATTTCAGGAGCTATTCCAACATATACAGTAGAACCTCGATTATCCGGACTAATAGGGGATGAAGGTAGTCCGGATAAAGAAAAATCTGGATAATAGAAACAAATATTTTAATTTGTCTTTTAATGTTAATACAACACGTTTTCTTTTCGATGACATATCGGTAATATTAAAAATAAATACTGTATTTAAATCGTAATCAAATTTTCGAGAAACAAACGTTCGTATTGAATTTGGACTACTACTGACCAGGCTAACAGACTACCTATTGTTTAAAAGGCCCTCTGGTGGCGCAAGAAGACGGATTTTATAAAATAAAAAGCAGTTGAAACTGCATTTTTATGAATAAAAATTTGACAAACTATTTATCGTTTTATGACGAGTAAAATTTTTTCGTCGCGTTCGCGGCTTTTAAGTAATGCATAAACCTTCGAGGCGCGAGGCCCTTCGGACCGCGAGGCATAGGCGGTGGCCCACGTCGTCCATGCCTTACGCCGCCCTTGGTCATAGAAATGATGTAATTTGAATATAAATTATTTATAAATACGTATGTCAAGTTATATTTTTATTACGACGCAAAATATATTTAAGAGTTTACGACCACTGTGCCGGGTGAGACGTTGTTGAAACAAAAAATGTTATGCATTCCATCACGTACATAAACAGTGTCGTAATTCGCCAAGTGCAAATCAGCAAATTCGTAAAATTTTTGTTTATTTTGAACAATCCGGATAATAGAGGTTCTACTGTAATACTTAATTATTCTAATATAATGGTTATTATTTTTAAAAAACAAATTACAAAAGACAGTATGCTACCATTACCAATGCCATATGTCTTAAATGTGTAAATGTCTAAAAAAAAAAAAAACAAAAAACTATTGGTTTTACAGTCTTATGCTACTTGTTAACTTTATTTTCAGTAAAGCACCTTTTTAGTTTGTCTTTTTGGTACAAATCCTTAAGAGACATAAATGGCACTGCACTGTATATATTTTGTGTTTTCATAAATATTAAATTCTCTACTATACATCAAATACTATTCTATATTCCATGTTAGTATTACAGCATGTATACTTTTTAATATCTAAACTGAGCTTGTATTTAAACAAATTAATGTATTTGTTTAATATAATTTTAACATAATGAACTAAATATTTATATTTACCTGATTTTTTCCTTTCAATAAAAGTACATTAGTTACACGTCCAAATGGCATACCCAAATGAATTATATCTGTCTCAGTAGCATCATTTGGAATGTTACGGATATGAACTACGCGAGATGGTTTCCCTACTTGGTTTTTCTCAAGTTTTACCTAGATAAAGAAAAATGAAATTAATATTAACAAATATCTGTGCACACTTCAAAGATAAATTATGTTATATCCTGTATATAGTACGTATCTTTATTGTACTGTACAGTATTTGTATATAGGAAAAAGAATAAATGGAAGATTTATTCCATCATTTTTCTGCAGCTAGTTGAACTTTGACAATGTATACGACACGATGCCAATTCATCAATCATCTGAAAGCAATAATACAATTAATCTAATGTTATTTATTAATAATAAATTATGTTATATTTTACTATTATATACCTATTATGTGCCTATTGTTAAGTAGATTATTATGTTTAATTACTTTTAAATAAAAACTATTNGATATAGTCTACTATTTTAAAAAAACCTAAAAAATGCCTTTTTTAAAGTGAATTCTAGTAGTAATAAAAACTGCTAAAGGTTAAGTCTTATCTAATATTTTCTTATATTTACAGACAAAATATTATAATTTACAGTTAATTGTTTTCATATTTTAAAGGATTTATTACCCGAACAACACATATTCATGCATTACTGCAAACTTTAAGACTAATGCTTAAAATAAAATAAAAAAATAGCTGTCACATATAATTTAAAAATTGTGTATTTGACATAAGTATTATAAGATGTCTAAATTATATGTGACATTTATTAAATGTGTATCATCATCATCATATATTCAATAAATTAAAAATAAAAAAACAATTGAATATTTAATACCAAATTTTGTAATGATATTTGTGAGGATTCAAATCCCCTAATGCTGTTTTTTCAAGTTCTAAGTTCCAACTGTTCATCCATTACAATGAAAACTTTCCAATTTTATCAATTCCATGCAACAACAGTTTTTTCCCCCTTCCTAGAAGTAAAAGTACAGTAAGACCCTGCTTAACATGGGGATGCGTTCCTAGATGACAAAGCACTAAACAAAACAGTGTTAAACAAGGTTATTTTAACATAGTAAATAGGAATAGGGGAACACGCGACCAAAAACAATCAAATTTTACTTTAATTTTAATTAAGTTATTTTTATATTGATATGCATAATAATATATGTGAAATAACACACAAACATATGCACACAGAAATGTAAAGTTCATTTTTTGTGATAAAGGTTTTGAATTTTCTGAAATTCTTGTTTTCTGCAATAAAGTCGTGAAGTTTCATTTATTGATTTTTCTTCTTTCCTTAAGCAAATGTCGGTAGCAGAAAATTGCATCCAAAATGTCTCATTTTGCTTTTGCACGCCTTTCAAAATCTAGATCATTTGCTACAATTTGATCAATGATTTCGGTTATTGTTACCAAATTTTTACTAAGGAAATTTGTAGGGTTCTTCGTTTTCAGATCTCTGTATTCCAGTTCTACGTAAATTCCATGTCCTGCCAGTTCTTGAAGGTTTTCATTTGTAAGACTCGCCAGAAACCTGCAGTAACTCCTCAATATCTGCTCATCTACATCTCCTAGTCGTGCTGTATTAATTAGATTGGCAATTTAGTCAACCTAATGATACAGCGATAGGTTATTCTCATTGAGAATTCTTGGATACCTTCAGCCATAACTTCGTCCACACTTCATTTGTGCATTTATTGGTTAATTCTTGCCAAGCGAAGCCGATATTGCCTATGGGCATCCATGATGTTATATTTTTTCCAAAATTGCACCAAACAAACACAGATTTAAAGAAAGTACACCCTTTTCTGATTGGTTTGTGTTTGTAAATAATCACATTATATACGAATCAATGAAATGCCGTGATAATTTAAATCAGCATAAATGTTGAGCTTTTTTTAGACTTTGAGCAGATTGTGTTATATCAAATCAACATCAAGCGGGGTCTTACTGTATTTAAAATGTGGATATTGATTATCCAGCATAAAAAAGAAACTTCAATATTAGAATATTTCCATAAAGAGAAACAACGGCTGATTCAAATCCTGGTAAAAAAAATACAGAAAATTGACTTTTAAAAAACCAGTTAAATAAGGGAAAATTAATTTTCCTTGTCAACTTTAATTTTAGTCTAAATTAGGGGTCTCCAAACTTTTTTCCCGTCGACCCTTTTATAGAATATTTGCCTTCTTATCGACCCCCAGATTAAGTATTTAACAAAAACATTAAATCTTTAATATATAAATGGCTTGCTGTAACATTTGTAACATTAAATCATTTTTGTATTGTAACAACCCAACAAAAGAATTTATAGTTTCCATATCTTATAAAATCCACCCAATAACATTAACAGGAAAAGGATGTATTTTTTACTGATTTATAATCTTAAAAAATAATAGCAAACTTATGGATAGATGGAAATTTTCCTATGGTTCGTAAACTATACGTGGTCATAATACGTAAAATACACAATCATCTTTGAAAACATAATATTGGATGAAAAAAAGATCTTACTGTCATTTTGCAACTATTACTGAATGCCTTAAAAATATATTAACATACCTTTTATTTTTATTAAAATAGTTGATATTAGTGGGATGAATGTCTGAAGGAAAGCAGCAAGATTATTGATATGCGGATGAAAATTGGTAAGTTTTAGTCGCAAATCACTATGGTTTTCCAAGTTCAATCTGTTCCTCTGTTTTGTCAAAATTGTGTTCACATGGCTAAAACCAGCTTCAACCATGTATGAAGTTGGGAATGCGAGTAGAAAGGTTTGGCTTCTGCTCTGAGCTTGGGATATTTAGTGGCAATATTGTTATTGCTCCAAAATTCACTGAGGTTTTTATTTTTAAACAACGCTTTAGCTTCAAGATCTACACATATTTCAATCAGTTCATCTTCTAAGCAGGTTCACTACCTTCATTATCTATTTTTACATCAAATGGATTAGCAAACCATTTGGGAACATGCATATTCTCAGAGTCTTCGAAACGTGTTTTAAAGTTTTCTCTTAATTTATCAAGATGTTTAATATATGTCTGCAAATCAGTCGGAAATCTTTTTATTTTTCTTTTTTAGTACTCACAAGTTTGAAAAATATTTAAAATCGGATCGTGCCAGTGAAGATTTAAATTGCTCCATTTTCCATGCTTGAAAGGTCATTATGATTGTTCGAGCTTAAACAATTGTAACGTTTTTCCTTACAAATGCTTCTGTACTATATTAATAATTTTCGATATATTACGATATTTTCCCTGTAAAGGACAAAATATCTACATTTAGATATAAAATACTTAGAGTGACAACCCTACTAGAGTAACAGTGCAACGTATTTCTGAACTACCAGCATTCATAACATGTTTGCAACTCTAGTACAGTTGTCAGATGCATGAAAACAGTAACACATGCTTAAAGCGGTGTAGGTTAAGGCAAAACTCAAGTTATAACTAGGGTAGTCAGTAATGCTGATCATATCTGTATTTCGAATTTTTATTGGAATATTCTATTCTTTTTTAGACAGTTTAATTGATTCTCTTTGGAATTAATCGACCCTCCTGTAGTAATCAACCCCTGGAGAACTCTTATCGGCCCCAAGTGGTCAATAGACTACTTTGGGACTCCTAGTCTAAATCAATCAATAAAAGAATCAGCAACACTAAAAAGATTAATTTTTTTGGATATCTAAGACATTGGATCTGAGAATAAAAAAGAATAACTCTTCCTTTATTACAAAAACTAACAAGACAAACATGGAACTACTGAAATACTTACTTCTAAAACAAAAAAAATATTTTTGATTTCTTAGATTCAAAGTTAAAACTATTTAAAAAAATCTCAGTGCAAGGAAAAAACAACTAAATCTTTTTGGACCTCATTATGATCTCATGAATCATAGTCTTCTCAGTCTCTGTATATGAACATTGCAATCTAATCTAAATATAAAATGCTAATTTTTCTCAAAGAACTTGAATGTAATAATCTTATTCATTCAGAATTTAATATTAGTTAAATTTTCATAAAATAGTATTCAGAACCTATACAACTTCAATCTTTCATTAAGCTGGTCAGTTCAATGTGGAGACAGTCGCCATAGTAAATACTTGTGCCTGAATCAACACACACAACCTTACATTAGTGTCAAATACCATCTGTACCAGACTGATTGATATCATTTTCAATATGTAATTCCTAAAGATGGTTCAATTTAAATTATATTTTTTGATATGATTAATATGTTTTTTATAAATTTCTCATATATTAAAATTCCAAATCAGTAATTATAGTGTGTTTCAACAATAACAAAAATTTATTTTATAAATGTATTCATTGCATGGGTAAAACAACTGTGAAAATCTGACTCTCTTAGAAGGATTCTAATTAATAGAGAGTCTTATGGAATTCTTCTTTCATCATTATTTCCGTTATTTCTCCCGTTCTCACCCCGTTACCGGAGGAATAGACTCCGGATAACGAACTGCGTAATTCGTCTGTCAAGAAGGTCTTCCCTGGGAAGTCGTCTGAGGCGACCGTGGAAGAACTCCCCTCTCCCCAGGAGACTACTATATTGCACTATTTTACTAATTGGCTAGACCGCAAAAGACAACCATGTGTTCCTACGTGGAGAGTAGACAAGAGGTCACCTACAAGGGTCACCTTTACGGTGAGAAACATTACCTAAAATGGTCAGTCATCTCCCCAGGTGATGACGAATTTAACATTAATTGGTCAAGTGATGTCTGCATTGTCATCACCCATGACGGGGGGAGACTGTCATAAAATCGGGAGAAGTGACATATTACATCAACGGAGTCCCCGAGATTTCCCACACTAAAATAGTATAAAAGGGGAATGATCGGAGGTCTTGAGGCGATCATTGGAGAAAGAAGACTACAAGCGTCTACTCTGGAAGGTCTTCAAGGTTTCTGATCGCCGACCTAAAGAGGTAAATACTTAGATTGTTTTTACTTCACTCTCTCTCGGTATACTCGGGACTTAGAAATTATTTGCTCTGTACCTTTTGATAGGTCTTAGAAGTATTTTGTGTCTAGGACCTTCGGCGGTCCCACTTATGGGATAGACAGACATCGGTTGTCCGATATTGTCGCTACTCGAATTTATTATAATTATCGCTTACATATTGTTTAGAATTAATGTGTAATTTTAATGTATTTGTGTTATTTTTATGTTTATATTAAATAAGTTATTCCTAATTTAATGACTCCTGTTAAGTACTACCAACATCTCATCATGACTTCATTACGCCTCCCACTCCTTTAGCCCTCCTATAGCCATTTCCTGACAGCCAAGCCGGTAAGTGGGGAGAAGCTCTCCGCTTCAGCCCCCTCGGTTAGCACACAACATTTTGTGAAAGAGAAAAGTTCAGTACATTTTGCAAGGATGTCACTATTTCTGGGGAAAAAAACAGACTGAAAATTCTGTAGAACAGAGAACAAAAATCTTCAAATGATTTATGCAGGGGTGCACAACCTGCGGCCCGCGGGCCACATACGGCCCCTTATCAATGTTTATGCGGCCCGCGGACGGTACAGGCCAAATCCCTTCTTTCGAAGTTTCTAAGTGTAGAACTTTTCCCTTTCACAAAGTCATTAGCACCCAACTGTTTTATAACTTTCCCTGAAGTGAGAAATGGGGGGTTGTTCTATAAATAAGTCTATTTCTAGCTAACACTTTCTGGTTTAGATATCGAATATTCTAAGTCTAATACATAGTATTATAACGATTTTTTGAAGAATCAAATAAAATAAAATGATGTTAGAACGACATTTCCGATGTTATCAGGAAGTTTCTATTTTGGCGGGAAATCTTCAATTTTATGCTTCGGAAAACTTGCTTATTCGTCTAAATAGCGTCAAATAACAAAAATAAATGAAAATAGCGCTGAAAAACTATGAAAATAACGATTTTTTATGATTTGTTTACATTCTAGATTCTGATTGGTATTGTCGAATTTGAATCAATCTTTTCTGAAAAGACGCTTATTCGTCA